TTTTTTTTTTTTTCCAGTAGAGATGGGGTTTCAACCATGGTCTCGATCTCCTGACCTCGTGATCCGCCCGCCTCGGCCTCCAAAAGTGCTGGGATTACAGACTTGAGCCACCGCACCTGGCCTATTCTTTACCACTGATATGGTGTGCCTTAATTGCTAATCAATGTATATATGTTTTGATTATGATCTATTTTTGAAAATTATAAACTTGATGTTGACTAAATGATTCCTTTTAATGGTATAAAAATTAAAAGCAGACATCTGGGGTTATTCTAGCAAAGAAAAAGAATATCACACACACACAAATACATTATGAAGTACAAAACAACGGATATATATGCCTCTCTCTGGCATTTCCATTGGAAATAGGCTTTATGCCAGAACAATATACACTGCAAGGTGAGAAAACACATCAACAATACAAGCGGTACCAAATTCTGCAGAATATTAATATTTGTACTTATTATTAAGGGAGCTGGTCATAGTCTGACCACAGGATTCACACCTATTAGAATGCTTAAAATTCCTTGTTCAGTAGATCCTCCAATGGTGATGATGGATATTGACTACAGAATCTTTGTCATAAGTTCAAAATAGAAATTATACTTTAAAAGTTCAAATATATAAAATAAAACACAAGAACTTGAGAAGCATATACTATTGGCCCTCCATATCCACAGGTTTCCCATCTGTGAATTCAACTACCTATGAATCAAAATATTCAAGAAAAATAAAAATATTCAAGAAAAAACTAAAAATAATACAAATAAAAATGCTGCAAAGCTATTTACATAGCATTTAAGTTGCATTAGGTATTATAAGTAATCTAGAGATGATTTAAAGTAAATGGATGACATGTGTAGGTTACATGCAAATATTATACCATTTTATGTAAGAGATTTCAGCATCTACAGGTTTTGGTATCCAAGGTAGGGGTCCTGGACCCAATCCCCTGCAGATACCAAGGGACACCTGAAATTCATTCTGGATGTCAAAAAGAATTATAGCTTTCAATGTTAAACTGCATCCAAAATACAGTGAGAAATAGTATTGATAGCTAACATTACATGAGTATGTATATGATGGACATAATTTACAGACACTTTAGTTCTAAGCTCTTCAAGGTATAAGTTATAATTGTGGGATATCTGAAATTTAGGTCAAATTCCACTATTTTGAGCTTCCTTAAAACATACACACACAAAGACACACGTACAACTAAAGAGTGGTGTCAGCAAGATGGCAGGGCATAAATTCCCATGCTTGTCCCATCACAGGGACATCAATTTGAAAAAGTATCCACACACAAAAAAATACTTTCATAACAGTTAAGGAAACCAGGTCTCCAGCTGCAGCACCATGGCTGGGAGTCGGGAGCATGTTAAATACTACTTTTTAAGATATGATAAGACAAATGAAAACTGGTCAAATGAAACACACACACACACACACACACACACACACACACACATATATGTATTTTAATAATAAATGAACCAGTCACTGGCTGAACTGGCTTTTGGTTAATTGACCTAGAGCCCAGTTTTGCTTAAGCCTGACTTTTCTAAAGGGATAATTAGCCAAAATTTCATTTGGAGCTGGCCCAACCATGATAAGCTTACAAAGAAAGTAGTTCTATCATCCAGTCCCCATTACACTGTCTCAAATAAAATCCTCATCGGTACCAAAAAAACAAAAACAAAACCCCAAAATTAAAAGGAAATCTCACTTTCCTAGACTACCACCAGAGGCAGTTCAAACCATCTCATCACTTGATAAGCAGGATTATCATTAGTGATCTCTGTGAGCACTGGATTGGGAAGACAGAAGTCAGAGCAACAAGCAAGTGTCTACATATAGGAACAGCAAGCAGTAAGGCTGAAAACACAGCCTAGAACAAAAAGACAAAGCACCCTGAGTGCCCACCCTAGGAATCCAGAGGGCTTCATAGGACACAGCTAGCCATGAGGGCAATGGAATAGGTTCACTTGCTGATGAAGTATAGAAAGGTATTTGAGAAGCAAAAGGCCAAACATCAATAAACCAGTAGTAGACCACTGAATCCATGACAAAAAAAAAGAAAGAAAGAAAATTATAAACACATGAAAAGACCTGAAGTTAACTGGAGAAAGAAAGGATTTTAAACTCACTTCCTATTGCCTCTAGTTTAACTAATGATGATTCCAAGGAAGACACAATAGCATTTGATAATTCAATAGATTTTGAGGAAGGTAAATTAGAGTTAGAGATAAATAATAGAAGTTTTCAATATTTTGAGATCTGAATTTGAGATACCAGGAGAAAAACAGCCAACTTAAATAGACATAAAATACGTTGAAACTACTGAAGCAAAAAAAACTTCAAAATATTCCCTAAATTGAAGCTGAATCAACATTAAACAAAAAATCCAACTGTTTGGTGTCCCTGGTTATATATTTTCTGCCTGCTATAGCTCTTCCCCCAAATTCTTAGTACATACATTCCACCACAATCTGCCGTTGCCTTTCCCCCAGAGTTTCCTCGCGAGGCAGGTATTCAACCTTTTGATACTTCATTCCTACAATTTTGTGGTGCTCTAAAACCTCAGTTCTGCTCACTCAAGAATACAAGAAAAACCCATCAATGATATCTAAACAGCTATTGGACAACATCAACAACACAACACAGACTCCTGGAGATCCGTGACATCACAGTGACCCATCTCAGAAAGCACTCAAATCTTTCTATTCTAAACTAACTTTGTACAATGGCCAAAAAATTAATCAAATACAATCACTAGCAATTATTTCCTGAGGCCAAAAAGGTCCCTAACACTTAAAAATTTTACACTTCAGTATGTTAATTTTAAACGTATTTATGTCTCCTCTCATTTAGAAAGGATTTGCCATCTCTTACAAAGATGTAGCAAAAACAAAAGTTATGTGAAGAACCTGAAGGGGAAGAGAACACAAGGATGAGGTGAGAGGAGAAAAATTAAGGTGAAGATCAATATAGATTAATATCCGAAACACATGTTGTAAGGTCCAGTCCACCTTGCCAAAGAAGGGTTGCAAGTTTGATTCTGAGCTTTTTCGGTAACAATGCAAAAAGAAAGTATGATCAGTCATGCAATGCAAAATAGAAACACAAACAAAATGCTTGGGAATAAAAGGACATCAGGCCCTCAGACTGAGACCTGACAGGACTCCTTTCCCCAAGGTCTGCAGAGGAGGATGCTAAGAAACATCAACCGAGTCCTCAACAACTCTCCCTACATGAAGATAAGTTTCAAAGAGCTGTTCTGTAATGCTGCTTATTATAAGCCAATGGCTAATAGCTCAAATCAGAAAAGGGGGGGGGGGTAAAATGATACGTTATACAATTGATGTTCTAGATTACATCAATTATATTATTTAACATACCATTTAAAAAATATATATTGAGCAATGATGTCCCAAACATAATAATGCTTTATCTGCATTTTCCTAATCTTCATAACAATTTGAGGAACGTGCTATTATATTCTCCATTTTATAATCAGAACATGAAGCTCGGAGAAGGCATGGAACTAGAATTTGTTCAACTAGAATTTGCACAGCTAGTTAAGTGGCAAAGCTGGGATTAAAACCCAGTTCTATGTAAATTCTAAAACCCATGTTTTTTAATATTATACTTAAACATCTTCCCCCATGAATGTATCAGAATGGATTTATCACAGGCACATACTCTGGTGATTTCAGCCTAAAAGTTGGAAAAGTGACAGCGTGGCTATTCAAATTTCACTAAAGCTCTCAGAACACATCTAATTTCAAGCAATATGGCATCTGATAACCCTCCATGATAAACAAATTGCAATGTGTCCTTTTCAGTTACTAAATGAACTTACTTGTTCAACAGGACTTTTAGCAATATTGTAGAGAAAAAACATGACTTGCATTTTGGGAAAGATGACCTTAAGGCTTCTTCACCTAGTCATCGCTGAGCAAGAGAGGGTTGTTCATGAAAGCACTCCTGACTCATGACATTAAACTCTATCATCTACTTACAAAATCGATAAAATATAAACAACTGCCTTGTTGGGGAGAGGAGAAACTTATTTCCCACCCCTTCTGGGGTAGGATTCTTGGCCTCTTTCCTCCCTCTCATGCCCAGCAGAAAATAAATGACAGATGACTGGACAATGTGGGGCAAGCACTGGGCCATA